AAAAGCCTCAACATTACAAGGCGACAAAACTCTAATATCAATAGAACACAATAGGAACAATAGTTGCCCTCTGTCAATTATGCCATCATTACCATTGGAATAAACGACGTAACGGATCAGATGATTGTCGAAAAACAACACGATGACTACGCGACTCGATCTTTACTGCAACTCTTACTTGCTACAGACAAAAATGTATCGTAGACTATACGTTTATAAAATCCAAGTCTCAATACAGAAGCATATCGTGATCTTGCGAGATGTCGAAACAGTTACCCTATAAATCATTTATAAGACTGCGGTGCCGTTTAAATTTTTGTCACTTAACAATGTACAATGAATCTGATTAATTAAAATGTTGCATGCCTGTTAATGGTTCTTTATGAATATTTTAGAATATTATCAAAAGGTAAGTAGTATGATTACGAAATTGGTATGGAGAATCAAGTTTGACTTGTTCAACCTGTTTGATATTATAATATTGGGGATTTATATCTAACTTTGTATTCTTCGATTGAGAGCCCAAATGTTTAAATCCTAGTTAAGGACAGTTTCCTAGTTTCGAGAATAGCGTGTATTATTTTACTAGCAGATCATTCGGTGAAAGTAGCAACAGCTGTCTGTGGTCTGCTCACGCTAGGCATCTACAAGCCCTTTCGTGTATCCTCGTAAATTCTCTGTGATCTCGACTAGTTTTGTTCCCATAGTGTTTCTATTGAAACCTAATGCTCCAACATAACGCTGAGTCACTCGTAACGTTCCAATTTTGCATAACCAATTTATCTACAAACTGTAGGTCAAAATAAATTTATGATTACAGTTAGATTAGTGATACTTCCATTTCTTCCTCTAATAAATTTACGTCTATGTTTACTAACTTGTATAAATGGGGCGCACTATAAGTTTCCGAAACTGGCCACTTACATAAACAATATTTAAAAAGTAATTACAGTATTTGAAAATGGAACTCTTTGGCTGTAGAATACTGTTTGTTTCATCTGAGTGTCACTTGTTTTTACATTGTGGCGTCATTTTATAAATTGGTTGTCTACGTCACCATGGATTTATGAAACTTTTCTTTCTTTTCGTGAAAATTTTCGTAGTATGATTTTCTACGACTTTAAGTGTTGTTTAACAGCTCAGCGGAACTTCCCTCGGCTTCAAACTGCTTTTGGCGATGAAGCACCATGTAAGATGACTATTTATAGCAGGTTTGCAGAATTCAAGCGCGGTCGTGTGAATCTCAGTGACGAATATAGTGATGGTCGCCCGTCCGCTGCTGCGAACAATAAAATCATCGATGCTGTGCGCCGTAGGGTCAAAACAGACAGGCATGTGACATACCATGAGATTCGGGCATCTTTAGGCATAGGCATGAGTCAAATGCCATCAATACTACACAAACATTTGGGTAAGAAAAAGCTGTGCTTTCGGTGGATCCCACACAATTTGACTGAGGCTTAAAAAAACGAATCGCTTCACTTGGTGCAATGCCATGCTTACCAGATTCAACGATGGGGCGTCAAATTTGTTGTGGGACATAGTAACAAGTGATGAAATATGGATTTATAGTTACGATCCCAAAATAAAGCAGCAATCGAGCGTATGGGTCTTTCGAGATGAACCGAAACCAACCAAAGTGGCGCGCGTGCAAAGTGCCTCTAAGCGGATGATTGCTTCTTTTTTGGATAAAACTGGACACTTGGCTACTGTTGCTTTGGAGAATCGTTGTACCGTGAATAGTGATTGGTACAGGACCATCTGTTTGCCGGAAGTTATTGACAAACTCCGTAAAAATAACCGTAACTGCCGTATCATCTTGCACCACTATAATGCCAGTTCTCACACGACCAGACAGACAAATGAATTTTTGAAAGTGAATAACGTTGACCTTATGAGCCATCCCGCTTACAGTCCCGACCTGGCACCTTGTGAGTTTTATTTATTTCCAAAAATTAAGAACCAGTTACGCGGTGTACGATTTTTATTACCTGAAGAGGCTATCGAAGAGTACGAAAAATATGTTTCAGAGATTATCACGGAGGAGTGGCATAAATGTTTTCAAAATTGGTTCATTCGTATGGAAAAAGTGCATTAACGCTAACTGAGAATATTTTGAGAAACAATGATTTCATTTCTGACCATTTATAATATTATTTTTTATTCATTCCGGAAACTTATAGTGCGCCCCAAGTATATCGTTATTGACCACTATTTGGATTATTATTGACTGAATTTTGCTGACTGATTATTGGTATTGACTGAATTTTGTGTTAGCGTCTCAGAATGTACCTGAACTTTGAGACTGAAACCATTGGGCTTATTTTCGAAGAATATTTGTTCATAAGGCTTATTACGATTATTTATTTGATCCTCAAATTTGTCAAATATGATCGAGGTATGCGAAGGTGTTGTTCGTTTTGTCTACACACGATCGCAAGATAAGTCTAAAGCTTGCCACTTGTAATTTAGTGGGAGGTCTTGGCGGTACGGTTATGTTTTTACACATGTTTGTCATAGTGTGACAAATGGCTATAGAGCTTCATTTAATTTAAGGCAAACTTGGATACATTATAATATTGTTCCTTTGTATCGTGGTAGGTTTAGAAGGTTTGTTCAAGTAATATTGAAGTAAATTTATTTTTATTTCTTGTTCGACACTGTATTGAGTATTGACGCACTTTATTTTGCCAGCGGGTAATCGGGGATTTATTGAACGACATTGTTGATTATTTTATTAACGACAGCATTTATTGCGCGAAGGTTTATCGTTGAGCCCATATGGATTGTCAATTGCAGTTGTGTTTCCATATGGTAAAAAGCTTGAAGAATTAATATTTTAGTGCTGTTTGTGAAATTATATCAAGGGTATAAATATAGACTTTTATACGTTCATATATCAATTAGATTCTTGTTTATGTTTTATAAATATTTTCGCGAATAAAGTTAAAGAGTTTTTGATATTTCTATATTATCCAAAATGTTGAATGAAATTAAATCTCTCAAGTACACCTACTACAAGATATCGTAGAAGAAATCGACAAGACTCATCGACATCTTCTCTGTTTATCATTATGTATTTGGTTTGATACATTCGAATGCAAACTGTGGCGTTAGTATTTGCATAATTGTTTTTAGAGTAGTCTTTTAAAGACATTTTAAACTTTCTACAATTTGAAACCTAATAGTAGTATCACAGTTGCATCGCTGCTTAAAATCGCGCGTGTGTGTAAAGGTAGACAATTAACGACTGCATCACTACTGCATCGCGTTTGCATCGTTGCTAGAAGTCGCTGTGTGTAACCGCTCCAAATTCGATTACCTTTTGAACATTATATCGTTCCCTTTATTGCGGTTTATTTTATGACAATTCAACGTTACCTGACGTTAAGCGGTTACCGCCTTCTATATACATTTGTCATAGTAAAGAAGTATCTTTAATATATTAAATGCGGTAACATTAGTAGAGTACCGTATAGTAACATGATAACGTATATTTTCAAAAACTTACATTTTATTTTAACATTGTAGGCATATTCTTAAGTACTTACGTTGCTAACCCTTATTAAAAGTATTACCAACCATGTAGGTATCTCTGCGCTCAGAATGTGATTGAGAGTTACGATTGTCATTAATATCGTAATGGACTCGATTTATGATCGAGGATCATCTCTTTAGCTGCGTTGCTTGCATGTTGCATTTAATTCTAGATACACATCGACTCTGTTGTTACAGCTCGCCAATTTGTAATTGTTTGCGGTATTTTTGTTTTATTTATTGCTCTGGGCATTACTTTTAAAAGCTTGTGAGTATCATTTGTAATTGCTCTCCATTGTGGGGTTGTTGGTGTGTTTCAGATCTTGCTGTTTTTATTCTAAATTAAATTGTGTACTAAAACTATATATAATTTAATTATATTCAATCGTATAATAGCATTTTCGCCGATAATAAATTATTTAATTACTGCAGAAAATTCTTACCCAAGAAAACACTTGTTTACATCTTACTTACTCTTTCAATTATTTCTTGATTACCATAATGAATTTCTGAGTGGTTTCTCATCAGAGGATTTACATAGCTTCATTACGATTGCCAATATGTTCTGCAATTAATTAATTTGTAACATGGTTTCTTGGAATTTAATATGATAAAGTAGTTTTGTCCAATATTTATGCACTTTCCTCGATATTGCAATCGCATAAATTTATTTAAATATCACCCTTAATTTATAAAGGCCACCGGCGAATCTAAATTGAAAATTAACCCCATTTAGACGCACCTCCTGGCGCTCCGATACTCTCCATTATTTTTTATATCATGTCAACACCGTCGATAAATTATGATCACTCTAACAACCTATTATTAAGGATCCTGACATTTTGTTTCGTGTAATTTTAGGCAAAATTGAAAATTTTTGCTCAAAATTTTGGCCTGCGGTGCGGTAAAAGATGGATTTCGAGATTTATATGTTCCACCAATTTTGTGTAGTTTTTTTAATTCTATTACTGCGGCTCTTTATTAGGGTATATGTTTCTGCTTTAAAGTAATTATTTATCAGTATCTTCCGAATGTTTCATAATTTATGAAATGTAATTAGATTCACAAAAACCAGCGTGTCGGATATGTCCAAAACTTGATCCCGTCAGGTGGCCAAGGCCTGGAGTTCGTTGACACCGGTCAGGTAGGGCTGGCTGATGATTGATCTGCATCCTTATCACTGCACTGTCGCCTACGTGCGGCTTTCTCAAAGAAGCATTGTCTTCGACCATGAAGGCATGTGCTAATGGCGCTCAAGACGATTATTTGGCTCCCTTTTTTAAAATCGAAGCGTCATGTTTACATGTTCTTCAATTTTAATAGGAATAAGTCTAATGTGATGATATTATGCTAACAATCTGAATGGTACAGAGTAGAAGTTTTGACGTTTGAAAATGAGCCATTATTTGTATATTGTGTACTTTTATACTAAATTAATTAATGAATTTCTTTCTTTGTTTCAGACTGTTCAAACGGGAAAACCTGAAATAAAGGAAATGTAAGTCTTTCTAAATATTCATTTATGTATTGATTATGGAATTCACTAATTTCTGGTATGCATATTATACGATTTTTAATGAAAACTTTTATGTTTTATATTTTGCGATATCGCATTATGAAATGGTGAAAGCGTGGTGAAATGCATAAACATCAAATGTTAGTGGGAAATTCTATACCTGAGATCGATTTCACGGGTATCTCAGATTATGTAACACTCGAGTGTTGTTTTTATGCAGATGCGGGTATAAGTAACTTTACACATTTTTTGCATTGTCTCAACTGTTTAATTATATCATATATATTTTTTATAATTAAGATTGTTTTAACCCTTTTTGAAGTTTTGAGATTTCTATTTGAAAAACTATGAATAGGGGCCAACGTTTCCGTGGTAATTTTAATTTGTTTGTTTTAAAACTATTTACTGCGTGTTTTGACAAATAATCACAAGGTTTTTTTTTCATCCTTAACTTTCTGTATTTTCTATTGTTTGGCTTGATATTCTCATGTTAGCCTAGCGCCTCTAACTTTAGTACCTATGGTTATTTTCACTCATTGTCCTCCTGTGACTCTAACGGTTTTCGTTACTATTATTGTACATGTTCGAGCTCCCTCATACGTCTGTGTTAGTTTATGAAATAGCTTGCAAACAAATCTATTTCAATTTAATATAAAAGTTTATTCAAACTGTAATGTTTTTATTTGCAGATGGGATATCAAAACGCTTTTAAAGAAAATACCTAAATTGGGTGCAGTAATAGATTTAACAAACACATCACGGTATTACGATCCTAGGGTAAGTGCATTTGATTTTATCTCTGCGTTAGCACTACTGTTTATTTTCATGTATGTAAATAAACAGAGTTATTGCTCAATGATAATATTCTTTGCTTAGACATATATTCACACATGGTTGCGGCTGTTGACTCCATACAAAGGCTCGTTTCTTATGATGAGTAGTTAGAACACAAAGCCTATCAGCTAAGTGACCAGGGCCTTAGAGTAGGCACTAGAGAACTGCACAGGACTTTGGCAGGACGCGCTCGGTGTGTTAGAATACAGCGAAACAGTAAAATTATGTCCAAGTTTGCAATTGAAAGCCACATTTTCCTGAACGATGCTTTGTTTGTACCCAGTATTGATTGCCTCGCATTCATCTTCCAGCAAAAGACGATCGTAAAAGTGTTTTCATAGAGGAACCGAACTTTAGAAATATGGAACTAGTTATAAAATTACTACTTTTTAATGTTGCGAACCTTTTACTTAAGTTGCCCCGAAACTACACGTAGAACGAAAAATTTATTAACTTTAATGATTTTTCCATTGTCTGTTTCATGGAAGTGGATTGTTCAAAATTACTTTCGTAAATTTCCGTTGTTTTTTTAACGATTTAATTTTAAATTGGTATCTGTGGTTTTATCATGTGCAGTTCATGTAAATCAGTTTAGCTCTTGTTCCAGATTCTTTTCATAAGGCATTCTTTTTCTTATTTAATTGTTAGGGATTGTTACCCACTATACTTCCATTTACTTACATATATAAATTGTTTCATTTTATTTGAATAAAGTCAGTTCTAATACCGCACGTTTCGCGCGTACTTGTCACCACCTCATATAGTACAGTGGGTAACAATCCCGTCCGGAAGGACGAACATCACACCTACATGACAAGTAAACGCGACGCATGCTGTATTAGAACTGACTATATTAAAATAAAATGAAATAATTTATTTATATAAAGTACATGGAAGTACAGTGGGTAACAATCCTGTACAAAGAGCTACCATGTCGGTTCAGCTCCCTAATTAGAGTTTCTGATGCCGTGTAGCGAAAATAATTCCCTTATCTGATCTATATAACTTCGTCTATGTCTTCCGCTGCCACTTTTTCCTTTGATTTTCCTTTCTATAACTCTTCTAAGAAAACCATCTTACTTTGTGCTAAGTAATTGAATAGTGTTGTGTGTTTCAATGGCATATATCAACGAATGCGATACCAATTTCATAGACTTAGTATATCAGCTAATTGTATTTTGACGTTTACTATTACGTGCTGCATTTACGATGTTTTCAAAAGTATTTTAAACTGGCCATTTAAATTGATTATGTTGTGTTTCATATTACGAATAGTGCTTTATGCTTAGAATAATAACGCATAGAAACCTAGTCCGCACACGCTAAGTGGGGCAAATTGAAGCGTGCCCAAAGGGCCTACACGAGCGGGCGGGCCTGAAGGCCCTTAAGGTCAACTTGTACCGCGAACAGATCAAGAATTTTAGCTGAATATGACGAAAGGTGCGGTAAATGAGTGTAAAAATACGTCAGACAAACATAAAATAGATACTAACATCACATTCCACAAGGAAGTAACGCGTTTCAACTTGTATTTTTATATAAATATTCACGAAAACCGAAAATTAACCTACTACTAAAACTAGCCTACATGAATTTGATTTTTGCCTCACTTGTGACAGTTCGTTTGATATGAAACTATCATTCTATGCGTTATTATTCTAAGGCTTTATGTTTATTATTTACTGCTTTCCATCTTGAAACTATATTTTTCTTGCTGCTCGCATATTCTTGATCAAAATCATTTACATTACTTTTTCGTGTTAGGCGTAATTTTTCAAATTATAATAAGTATTTCTACACTTATATAATTTTGTACTGCATGCCATCATTACCTGTACCAGCGAACAGCGGGGACAAGTCGGTGTCAGCACGTGCGCTGACGCCTGTCGCTCGTCGAAACTGTCAATTCGAATTATTTTATAGTTGTTTTTATATAGCGTCTTATTAAATGAACAGGCGTACCATAGAAAAATAGACTTTTTTGTTCGTACTAGCATTAGTTCGTCGTTGAAATATTAGGTGTCTTTTGTAAGTGGCGCCAACAGTTTTCTATTATATTAATCTGAAATGTAAAACCCTCTGAAGCAAGAAATGTTGAGTAAAATGTAAATATTTGCATATTGCATATTGTTCATAGATAAGAATCTCCGATCATAATTTGATTGTTAATAGTCATCGGGTGATATATTCAGAACGTCTTTACCATTTGATGATTACTTTCCCTCTTCATTCCATTTACGGTTCACTTACTCCGTGTATCTTAATCTACAACTATAGATATGTAATTGAAACCTGTTTGATATTTGTATTTAATTGATTGTCTGATGGACTATTTGATTTGGAGCCAGGTGTCATTGTAATTGTCTATATTGAGTATCTTTGTTTTATGCCATATAAGAGGTTTTACGGAGTCGTATATTAACTAAGACTTCATCGCTATTTAAAGTCAGCTCGGCCTTTTTCTGGATTCACATACGTCGACTCAGTAATTACAAAGGATATTTTAATGACTGCTTCTTTTGTCCTAGGAACTGCAAGCGGCGGGCATTCTTCACAAGAAAATTTTAATGCCCGGTCGCATAATACCTCCGGAGAAGAAAGTACAAGAGTAAGTTTTATAATTTTTTTGTACATTACTACATTGTTCAGTATTCTAACATTCTTTGCTAGTATTAAGGTATTATTACTATTTGAAACTTACCTATGTATTTCTATAGTCGAACAATATTCGTTCTTGATGTTGTGGTATTTGTAGACAAGCAGATCTCAATTGAAACATTGGCCCGAGCCTCCGTAACCCGCATTCACGTTTGATTACTCGTGCTTTCATGTGAATCTACCTACAAACAGTAAGCTCGCCCAAGTAGAAGATCTGACGAGATAATATTTTGATCTTCCATCATGAATATGTATCTGAAGTTGCGTAAGATTGGGAGCTAATCGCTGTTTCGGATAGGCGTCCCTTTAGGGACATACATTTTCAGACAATGTAGGTTAATTATAGAACTTCCTCTTTATGTTAATCAAATGGTTAAGTTTTTAAGATTATTATAAATAATTAATAATTATTGAGATAAAAGACGCTATATCTATAGTCGATATCGATGAATCTCCAACAAAATTGTGATTGCAAAATGAGTCTTGATTTCTTATATAGCGTTCAAATACATATGTAAAATAAATCCATTAAATTGGGTGAAGCATGTTATTGCGTGATTGATCAGTGTGTCGTCGACGACATGTGAAGTATGCATCGCATTTACTCTCTTTTACGGTGTCGCGTAAATCTTGAGCCACGCAGCTATCGATCAAAATGCACAGTATGTTTTGGTTGGTGTATTGTCTTTTATACATTTGCGTACTCTAAAAGCTGCAGAAGCTAGTAAGATATTTTATTAAAACGCTGTGTTATAAGAATATTTTTTTCAATTTATACACGTTGATTTACTATCTTTAGACTAATCTATGGTACATCAAAGCTGTTGTAGTGTTATCGTTTTGCATTGGAGCGGATTTTAATTTGAACCGTCGAATTGGCGCCGCGTAGTCCGAATACGGGTAATGTTATAAATCTCGCCACTGCGTGGGCGACTCTCGCCCGAGGCCCACGATATAGTACTGGCGGTAGTAAGCGGGAACTATAAAGGTACCAAATAAAAAGACTTTAGAAAACACTCTTGCACTAGAGCTTGATTCGATACTCCGTTAGTAGTGGCTGCAGCCTTGGTCGAAATTGGAAGGTCTTTTCATGTACAACAGAATGCGATGATATATATATGATCGACGCGCAAAGATATTGCCTTTGATAAATTCAAGTATTTTATACCAGACATTGATTGAATTGCACTTTGTACATTTTTGTTACGGACTTAGGGTTCCTTTCGATATTTTGTATTTAATTGAAGAGTCTCTATTGAGGTAACGTATCTTCTCTGTGAACACTCTCTTTTGGAAATCGAAGCCGGTCACATGAAGCGGCGTCTGCCGCCCACGCGCTGCTCTCGGAATTCGAAAGGCATTTGTCGCCGCACCGGCGCGCATGCGTGTAACAGATGTAGCCACAAAATATTTGTATTGAGACATAAATTTTGACACGCTTTATACATCTATTTCTAAGTGAATATTAGCTTTTTAAATCAATTTCTAGAAGCAATAAAGATGTTGAGTATTTATACGAAACTTTTCACCACATTTTTTTAAATTTATGTATTATTTCAAAAACTATACACAAATACAGGCTCTACAGAAATTTTCAGATTCAGATTTAAAGTAAAGGTGTACATAGCTACCTGAATACCTGTTATTTTTATTGACTAATATTTTTTATAAGCTATATATATCTTGATTCCAATTGTAATCAATAAACAAACTTATCTTGGTCATTTGTCTCCCATTTGTGGTAGCGCTTCATAAATCAAAGTTTAAAAGTTAAAAGTTTAAAGACCTGGCCAGAGCTATTTTGTCATTAGCTTTACTTTAGCACTTTCAATAATTCACAATATAACCCAAACTGCAGCGGAAATGAAAGGGAACATATTTTAATTAAGAACTCTCATTATGCTGTAAAGACAGATTCACAACCTGACCTTTCTATACGAGATGAAGACCGTCTGCAGCAAATGAAACTTGTGTTCTCCGCCGTTCATTTATCACCGTTTTTGTACTTATTTTCCATGTCGACTTATGTCCACTGACGACAGTCCTGTCGTCATTACAAACCAGCTTACACTGAACAACCAATTTCGTTTTGACCTCTACTTTAATTTCGTGACCATTCCCCATTGTCTTATTTATATTTCTGTTCAGGATACAACGTCAAGGACCTTCTAAAAATTGTCAAAGTGTATGGATCACCAGGTTTAATAAATTGTGACCACCGCCGTTGGTGTGAGTGTTCGGTTAACAGATTTTTATGGTGCGATAGCATGCCTTAACGTTTTATTGTTTCACGATACGTGTTTGCTCTTTAATAATTTTGAATGCGTATTTTTTATATCTGTAAAGTAAACATGGTATTGGACTTTGATCGCGTTGTCGTTGTCGTGGTCGTAAAATTACAAGTTTTGATTTGATTGTGTTAAATAAACAAACAAAAAGACAAAAACAATATTGAGGCCTGCTTGAGAACTTTCATAGTAAATTGTTCCTAGGTGGCATTTAAGTTTCTCGTTTGAATGTAGTGGACTAAAATCATTGCCTGATCCAATATTGATACGTCAGATTCCGTATCATGTCCACATGCCAAATCCGCTTTTGAACTTTTTTCTCCTACACTTTTTGTTTTGTGATTCAATTAGCGCATGATTGAGAGTTATCACGAGACAATTTGACATTGTATTAAGTCATTTTCGTATTTTAGGTGGTTTACTCAGTATTATTGAAGTGTACGGAAAATCCAAAAGTTATTTTGGATGGTTTATTTGAGTATAAAGGTCGAATGGAATCTGTTAATGATGACAGTCACGTCAATTTTTATTTGGGTTAATATGGAGGTATGTAGATAGGTGGGTGTTAATTATATTTACTTAGTCTTTGGTGTATCTTCTATATTAATTAAAGATTTATTTCGAATATATTCTGAGTAACAGTACATAACACAAGGCTTCGCATAAGGCTTTATTACTTTCGTCTCCTACATTCATGTAGTTATCCTATCAAGTGCACTGTTAAAATGATTTAAATATGATTTGCCAAAAGTGTTAGGTCTGTTACAGTGTTGACGGTTTCTGCCGCGAGGGCATTGTAAATCAGCTCCCGATGGGAGACTTCCGAGTGTGATAACAAACACATAAATATGGCGGCCGTCGGCCATTGGCCAAATTTACTGTCACTAAGCCGTTTGCTCTAACAATATCCTGTTATTTTTCCCTTTTTCGAAATGATATAAGCCTTTCATAAATCTCTGAAATTGCGTAGGTACTACTTACTTACATGAGTATTCTTGCTAATATACCTGTTTAGCTGAAAAAAAAATGTTCTATCAAAATACCCATCAGTCTCCGGATGAATTATCCGACTAATAACATAAATCTCATCGAACGTTATCCATTTTCGGTTTCTATAACCTCCCTAATAATGTTAATAACATGCGCATTACCAGTTGTTACAGTTTTAGATTCGTTGTAATGGCTGTTCTTATCGTCGTCAATTCAGTTGTTTTATGCTAAGGTATAATGGTTGAGACCACCAGCCTTGAATAATTGAGACATTCGATAAATAGGTATCATTACACCTAGTTTGCCTATCATTATTCCTACTTTTACATTATTCAAAGCTGCTTTCGAAATTTCGACTTCGTTGTAACTTAATTAAATGCGGTTACGAAACGCGGGTTCAATTACACGATTTGATTAGCGTAGTCTTGTTTTAATACTTGTAATTATTATCTTGTGAAAACTAGTCAAATTTGGAACAACATCTATTCGATTAAAGACCAAACGTTTGGTAACAATAATCACGGATTTATTACTCTTATTGGTTTGGCTAATACTTTTAGCGAAGCAATGTTTCAAAAGATATAATTTTGTCAATTTGAGAAATGACAATAGAATGAGTTTAATAATTATACACTAAAAAGGCTATTCGGAGTACTGCAACGATTTCTAACTAATTGAGGATAATGACTAGTTGCTCAACATTAGGAACTTTATGATGTTTGAATTAGAGCTGGACCCGTTTTCTAAGAATATTCAAATGAACATATTGCTTTCTAGATACACTATAGGATAAATTACACAATTTATTGGATTACTCATAATTTCAATGGTTATGTTAATGTAATGCGAACAGAACTCTGCGATGTGTCATTGGCTTTGGCGCCGGCGTTTGATGCCGTCAATTAATTTGCGCATCCCACATGTTTATGACTGACTAATGATCCCTCGCCATTGTTGAATTGCGGCTGCCAGTTGCATAATACCTGTCTGTTGTCTGTGGTTTCAGGTGAGATATTTGACGTAAATTTTTAAGACGGCATAAGGTGGAGAAGATTCAATTAATTTATGGTATATAATTTTATGGTATTTTGTAACATTAGTCTGATTTTTACATGATTTCCTAAGAAATGTTTTTTCTTTTCTCAGGAGGAAATCGCTGAAAAATAAACTGTTTTCCTACCGCAGATAGGGAACTATACCCCTATGGCAAAAAGGTTATGGGGGTTATACGTAGGGTTATACATGTATAACTCTTATATATTATACGGTTATTTTAAATTTGTCGTTCGGATGTAATCTATCTAAAAACTTAACTATTTTTGGCAGGCTATTCAAAATAATCCATACACATTATTAGCAGGTAAAATTGTTGAAGCATCGAAAGAAAACATCTAAGTCATCTAGTAAAACAACAAAAAATAAAACTAAATCAAATAAAGCAATTAGAATAACACGATATGTTCAATCGCGCATAAATTTCTCGGAACAAAGTACCATTTTCCGGTCCGGAAAGGAAGCTTATAATGTAACAAAGTCTGAGCGGTTTGTATCTTCGTGTTGTCAATAACGTCGTTCGAAAATTGTTATTGAATGGAAAGCGTTGCCAATATAGGCACATAAATAATACTAAACAGATTCGAATTGATGTTGTGGAACAAAAATATAGTGTAAG